GGAGAGATTAGATACTTTATGATTTGTGAATGCCACATGTTATCTATCAGGATGGGTCTCACCTGCTAACCCGTAAGACTTGGTCTTATAGAATTCTTTTCCGTGTCGATCCCATCCCATCGAAATGGCATCAGATTATACATATTGTGTTGGGTCCTATATATACAAACTCATGGCCAGGTGGGTTGAAGAAACACGTGCGGTAGGTGAAAGCGTAGAATATAGAGTACGCGGGAACACGAGCTAGGCATGCAGCTAGTATGTACTTGGTCATATAATCAAACACCTAGATAGATAGTATATAATAAATAATAGTCTGAAGATGTTAAGACCGTTTCAAGCGTTCTCATCGCATAGCAGCCATTGCCTGCTGCTTCAGTATCTTTCTTTGAGAAACTACTGCATAACTTGGTTCCACGGCCTTACCATGCTGCTTCAGTATCGACACGGTCTAGGTTCCAAGGAGACATAGTTGACTATCATAACTCACAAACCTTGTAGAAGGCATTTAAACTCCCACTATAGAAAAAAAAGTTCTCACTTCCTCTTATTAAAACTGGAACGCTTGTTGTATGAATTCCATGTCACTACTTTCAACTTAAGAGTTCCCACAAAAAAAGAACTTTCAACTTAAGAGGTAAAAGTCCAATATTAAAATCATGAAGTAAAGTTTTTAGACCGTGGATTAAGCAGAGAAATAATGACCGACATTGCATCATCCTGAATTGCAAAATAACAGCTTAAAAAAAGAGTGAACACATATTATATTAAAGTAAATTTTATGTAATAAAAGGATGGATATACAATGGCGCCAATGAGGACTACTTTTGATTATAGTGATGAAAATTTTCTTGAAAGTTAAGTACACCGGACACGTCCACCAACATTGTATAGACGTCCCTGGTCTATTTGGACTATTTGGGGTACATGCTCATAGCATCTTTTTGCTAGGTAAGCCTTGAAATTTCAGCATTTTCTACTAACCCTCATGCACTGTACATTTTACTTCAAGGTGAATTGAGGTTTAAATGGTGAGAGCAGACGATCTATACACGTGCCTGCTGGTCCATATTATCCAGTCGGTCGCGTTTTCATGCAGATCAGCGCCCAAAACAAAGTTAAAGCAGACAGGGAAAGGGAAAACATTTTAATAAAATAAGCTGTTATTCCCTCAAAATAAAATAGGCGGTTAGCTAGTAGGGACCATCTTGATGAATGTTCTTTACCTAATGCCGAAGGTACTTTTACAGTGGACGAGGCCTGGACAGGGGAAATTTTGATCCTTCACAGCGTCGATAGCCATCAATCTCAGGGAAGAATTCGTTCCCGAAAAGCACCCATCACCGACTCCCATGGCTCTCTCTCTCTCTCCCTCGATAACGGCGACTGTTCCTTGCAACACCAGAAACAAGAACATGTATGGCACTCCACGAGCAAATGACGGGATTTTTGCCCAGCCAAATTTGATCCAGTATGTTTGGGGTTGGGGGGCATCCTAATTGTTCTCCACCATTTGTGGCAGCAGGTTCTTCAGGATAGTTCATTTACAATCCGGGGCAATACAAATTACATGTCTAATCTAAGTATATATTTCTGTAATACAAGTTTAAGTTACGAAATTGTTGGTTCTCACGGTTTAGCAAGAATGTGTGTCAAGTCAAATATTGTATAAGACCAAACGAATTTTTATTAATCTCCAAAACGAATCAGCAAAACGCAAAACCTGAATATGTCCAACATACACATAACTACTTAACTATACACACATATAGTTGCTAGTAATAATTACTTGACTATACACAAAGTACACATGTGCCTGCGACTGCAGATATGCACTCAAGCCATGAGGCCAGCAATGGCAAGGAAAACGGCGAGGCCATACCCGATGGCCTCCACATTGGTGGCAGTGGAGACAGGGGTCGGCGGGGGAGCATTGCTTGCACTTGGTCCGCTGGCTGGGGCGGGTGACGAGGAGGAGCCAGACATGACATCAATCTTGACCTTCATGCCACCCGCGCAGTGGCCAGGGAAGCCACAAATGAAGTACCGGGTGCCGGAGGCGGTGAGGGTGACGACATCATTCCCAGAGTTGAGGGTGGTGATGGGGCTGGCGGTGCTGCAGGAGTCGTAGTCGGCCTTGCTGACCTCGAGGACATCATGCGCTTGAGGGGAGTACTTGAAGACGATCTGGTCGTCGGCTTTGAAGTTCCTGAAGGATGCCCATGTGCCGTAGTTGGTGCTGAGGTCCCACGCTCCGCCGGGCTCGCCAACGTTGTAGATCGCCGCTGATGCGGTGCTCAGGATGGCCATCACAGCCATGGCGAGAAAAATGGTTCGTGTGACAGCCATTGAGGCTTGAACTGCAAGGAGAGCTTAGCAGAGGAGATTACAAGGGAGGTGCTGATGTATTGGTCCTTGAGCGGAGAATGTGTTTGCTTCCCTAGGTGGCGGTGTCCGGTCCTATATATAGGACAATCCTGGCCGGGTGGGACGGAGAAACATGTGCGGTTGGTGGGACTTTGAATATTGTGTGTAGGTGGAAACACAAGCAGCTGGTACGTACTTGATCAAAATAGACTGAGTTTGTGAAGACCGGGCTGTGCTGTTAGCCTGCTGACCATTTCACGCGTTCTTTTCCATTTTCTTCAATATCGACGCGGTGTACAAGACATGACGTAGACTAACACGATCCACATACCTTCTGACATAGATGCTAAAATGTTGACAAATCATTTTTTATTAGTGGATTCGACATATTAAAGAGACCCTAAAATGTTGTTGTTGGAATTATTTAATTATATGTAGTAATTCAATATGAAGTACAAATCGTACATTTGGTCACTATAATGTTAAACTATATACCTATATATTAATAAGAGATTTTTTTAGGGAATATATAAATAAGAGCTTTTTTATCACATAATAGAAAAATGGGGGTCCTACTGATTTGGAGGCCCTTTGCAGCCGAACACTCTGCACAGGTGCGGGCCTGCCGTCAGAGGCCTGTTGCATGCCTTGATTAGGATCGTGCCTTGAATAGGTTACATGGAGGATATAGAGGCCAAGATCCAAACGAATTTCTACCATTGCTGCCAAGATAAACATGGCCTCTCGTTTTAGATAAAATTTACTTGATTGCAGGTTGGAAGCTCCATTTTTATCAGTTCTAAATTCCTAATTGTATGTGGTATGAACGCTTTAATTCTTGATTTTGATGCTCGTCTTTTAAGCAATACATATTGCTTGCTTTCTATGTTGATAGTTGTGACTTGTTTTGTTGGAACAATGTTGTAACTTTTTGTAACACTGAAGCTGTAATTTAATTAGTTGTAGCATGCAACTCATGTAGTAGAAAGCTGGAAATTAGACCGGAGAAATCTATCCAGCACTAGTATCAAAAGTAGTCCTCGTCACCATGATACATCTAGGTTTTCCATCAACAATGACCGAAGGAGAGGATCCCCATGTGAATGAATTACTCAAAGCACCACAAAGTGATGAAACTTTAATTACACGTTTGCGTGTGAGGGGAGATTCTATTATTCATTGTTTTTGAGATAGCTCACCAGTCAGGCCAAATGGTAGGAGAGATATTCCCGCCAAGACATAGTGGATATTTGTAAACTTTAATTCAGTTTAATAATGCATTGCACAATATTATTTCACTCGTTGATGTTATTTTGCAATCCAGGATGATGCACTATGGCTCAATTGCACGGCTCAACATGCCAGCTGATAGCTCCATTCTACCAATTCTAAACGTGTTTTGTGTGTGTGTGTGTGTGTGTGTGTGTATGTGGATGTAATTTAGAACGTGTTAACTTAACTGTATATGGTATGAAAGTTGTACTTCTTGATTTGAACATTGTAATTTTGTTCATCGTTCTCCTTCTAAATTGGAGGTCGTGACTTTTTTTGTCGTTGAAACTTGAAAGGTGTAAAAGAAATCACTAAAGGTTGGAACATAATTAGTTCTAAAGTGAAATTCAGGTAGTAAAGATGAAATATTGAATAAAAGAAGTCAAAAGTTTTTCTTTTTTGATAGAAGAGAAGTTCGAGTTGAATGCTGATCGACGAAACCTTGATGTATGTGAGCAGGGACATGGATTGTGATAGTCTACATTGCGTAGACCGCGTCGATACTGAAGAAAAGAAAAGGCAATGCGTGAAGCAGTCAGTAGGCCCGGTCTTCAGATGTTCCGTCGACCTATTATCTATTATATATCTATACGTGTTTGACTATGATGACCAAGTAGTAGGTGCATGCTGCCTAGCTTGCTTGTGTTCCCATATATAAACATTCAAAGTCCAAAATTCAGATATATGTAGTCTATTCTACGCTTCCAGCCTTCCACCTACCGGACACGTTTCTTCAACCCACCTGGGCATAGCCTGTATTGTATATATAGGACCCGACACAGACACCTAGAGAAGCAAAAACAATCTCCGCTCAAAGGATCAACACAGCACTTGTCTTACAATCTCCTCTGCTAGTTCTCCTTTCAGTTCAAACCGCAATGGCTGCCATGAGAACCATTCTCCTCGCCATGGCCGCGATGGCCATCCTGAGCACCGCATCGGCGGCAAACTACAACGTCGGCGAGCCAGGTGGTGCATGGGACCTCAGGACCAACTACCACTACACCACAACACTACATCTGCGAGAGTCAGGTTCGTTGGAAAAACAACTTCCCATGACAGACAATCGGTTGGGAAAAACTATTGCCGACCGATCTTGTCTGTTGGGGAAAGTCCAGACGGGGAAAGCCTTTCCCGACCGACATATCTTTGCCGACTGATCGCTTGTTGGCTATGGGGCACTTTTCCCGACCGACATTCTGTTGGGCCTGCCATGGTCCTTTCCCGACCAACAGTCTATTGGGCTTGCCATGAAGCTTTCCCGACCAACTGTTTGACAGAATTTTTTTCCCAACCAACAGTCTATTAGGCCTTCCAGGAGGCTTTCCCGACCGACTGTGTGACAGGGTTTGTTTTCCCGACCAACTTTTCGTTGGCCCATGCATTAGCTTTCTTCGACAGACTATGAGATGGTTTTTTCGTTTTGCCCACAAACATCCAATAGCCCTCAATAGCTTACATTTGTGTTACCAACAAAATATAAATCAAGTTTCATGTTTCAAAATAATAACATGCATGCCCTAACAATAATAAACCATAACCAAACAATAACACATTAATTAATTTCAGATGTAAATACTTCATCCATTACAATATGGTTCATTTTGTCAGACACAATGCGAGTTTACAAAATGATATATAAAGTGCATCTCCAACGATTCAGTCACCATTACACAAAATATCCCATTTACACAAACCACCGTCTTCATGTTTCCTCGTCCTCTTGCCTATTTTTCCTACATAATGTAAAGTTGTGATTACATTCATAAAGACAATGGCACCATAAAAATTTGTATAAATCATAGCATTGAGAACAACTATTACTTCACAAGGCAAGCTAGTACCAAACACCTACTAAGAAAGGCACTCCATTCAAGTTTAGGTAACCATGTAAAGGGGCATACTAAGCACTAGTTAAAGTGTCCTTATTTCTAGACACTATATTAATTGATAACAAGAAGGCTTCTGTGAATATCAACAAGTTAAATTCTACAAGGAGCTGTCCATTAGATGACTTTACTATGACCGCATTAAAATTTAGAAAGTAGTCGGCAACATAACGAATGGTTTTAAACTAAAAATGAGAGCGACCTTCTCCGACATTAGCTCATTTTATGGAGCGTAATTGTATTTCTCACCAAAGATTAAACATAATGGGGCAAAAATATGTAGGCGTTTACAGAATACTTTAGACTTTATTTACCGCGGTAACTTCTATAGCTCAGACCTCTAAAAGCAGCCAAGCTAGATACTACAACTACACTATACAAAATTTATCCATGTTGTGGTTCTTTTATCATATGATTAATAGATGCATCAAAACCTGATAATGAGCTAGCAGGTCAACATATCCAGGAATTCCCAGGACACCATGTGCTAGAGGTTTTTGAAAATCCATTTCTACATCACATAGCACATTGATGTTGGCAACCCTCTAGCATACCCTTTAGGTAGATAGGCAAATGCTTACACACCATGTGTCAATTGAACCCTGCAAACTTCAGAGTGTCAATGGTGTCAAGTAGAAGTAACAAATGCATCTATAATATTCAATTGATTAGGTACACACTTAAAACTTCAGAAAATCTTCAGAGATACAGACTTGTTCTATCTTCTAAGTGGTATCAGGACTGATGCAAAATGTCCAACTAACTGTTCGACATTCAATTGTAACCTATCTTAGTATGTGAAAATGTAATCCGGTGAGCGTAAAATTTCCATCTCAGCCTGAAAAATTATTGTTCAAATCAGGGGAGAAGTTATTTGCAACAGAAATGGACCACGAGATAGTAGTATGAATGTACGTCAGTCTCGGTCTGATGGTGTATTTCTTTTCTTCATTCTAAGAAAAGTACAATCATGCTTGTGCTTTCATCCGCTAATCAAAAATGACTAATGAAAGGATGATGTATAGACGAGCGACCAGAAAAGATCTATCTAGCACGAATTTTCCAGCCCAAACGCCCAATGTGAGAAAGCATCCCTTGATGCCCTGATCGCTTGTTGTACGCATCAGAAAAAAAAGACTACATGCATCCGTGAGATCAGGTAGTCTGTTTCCTATCCTTCAGGTAATTTTGTTCGCGGGCATCATGGCTTCTAGGGTTGCTGGCTCCGTGTGCCCTACGTCGTCGTCTCCTCTGCCCGTCCGCAGCTGCCGCACAAGGCAGAGGCCACTCCACTCGTGTGGAGATTGAATCCACGATGAAGACCATGCCAGCTTGTGTGCTACACCGGCATCATGCATCACAAGATCAACTTCAAAGAATCTAGGTACATCACTGGTAAATAATATTTGTGAATTAATACAATTCCGTTGAAGACAGTGGCGGTAAAATTACAATATAGGATTCTAATTTTACTCCTCGTTTAACATTTGAAACAGTATGTATGAAGAGAAAGGATACAACAGAAACATATTCATTTTTCCCCAGCCTAACATATTTGGTTTTCAAGCCCATTGCTTCTAGCTCAAACGTTACAGAAAATGCAAATCCACCTGACAAGCAACCATTGTAGATGATAATTCCAACCCCAATCCTGTTGATATGCAACTGGTAGAAATGTAGTTTTTTTATATATTACCAGACATATGTTGCAATACAATCATATCAGTTCTACTTTAGGGACTATATTCTTGTGTTGTGTCTCTCAAACGATTATTATCTTCCTCGCCCCCTCATGTCTAAATCCATACTCCGCCCCTGATC